ATAGTTAAACTTCCAATAGGTTTTTACATTCACATATATAAATGAAAAAAGAAATCACAAATTAATATCCCATCTATAAGCACAATAAAGAAATATCAAATAATAACAGAATTCTGGATTAGATAACATCAGGCTTATGAAATTTTCTTGTGCTTCAAGGTAGAAGAATATTAAAAATCACAACACTGATAAACATAATGGTCCAAAGTCTGTCCAGGGTTCCAAAGTGATCCCTGATGCCCACTTAGCTGATATGATGATGACCTGGTTTTCAGAGGTGCTGACTACATTCAGCTTCCATTGACTTTAGCCACTGTTGTGCATGTTCAGCACTTCTAAAATATCAGATTTCTAAAAACTAGGTCTGCCCTTTTTTTCTTAAATCCCTTCCTGGATGTGAATAATTCAATTTTAAACTCATTACTGTTTCATGAATATACAAGCCACCACTGGCCTTCCCAAATCTTTGCTTTCCATAAGTATGCATATAATAATAAGGAATTCTAGATTTGAATTATTATTATTAGAAGAAATAATATTCTAGCATTTTTTTTAACATTATTAATCTCTTCCTGGGAAAATTAATTATCTCCAATACAAACCATTAAAATAAAAGGTATTTTTACCATCAATCTCACTGAAAGTACATCCAGCTCTCTAGGAATTGATCCAAATACAACCAAGTAAATAAAAATCAATTGACTTTCCATTAGACATTAAGCCCAAGACATGTGAAGTATTCAAAAGAGAATAACAAATGCATTTATCAAAAGATATTGCAGTTCTTTTCCTGGTACACTCAAACACAGAACTCTGATCCTCACTTGAGTTTTTCTCCTTCTGTTCACTTGAGGGAAGGTCATTATCCTTGCATAAGTTATAACTATCCATATTTTCTGGATATGTACAAGAAAGTCTAACAGAGTCAGCTATTAAAAGCCTGGTGTAGCAGAGTACTGCATATGCATAACTAAGAGACAGAGGGAGGGGAGTAGGAAATAACACTCATTTTAAGTTTGCTTAAAGTTTTTTAAAAATCAAATCAAAAATGCCATTTTTACAATATATATTTTAATATATGTAGCATGTAAATATTTGGGACAAAGAGCATGAACTGAGTTTACTCATGATCCAAACCTCTATTTTCTGTAAGACATACAATCTTTCCACTCCTGAGGCTGTTCACCTCAGTCATTAATTGTAACTCTGAAAGCCTCACAGACACATCTTGGAAGTCTAAGGACAATATTGATTAATCCATCATGCCAGTAATGCTACATCTTCACTGTATTTCAGGTTAATTGTATTGTGCCTTGCATATATTGATACCATCTGTTTTAACCATACCATATTTTTTCAGGTAATGTGTTAGCAAATTTTTTGAAGTAGTTTTCCATGCTTTATCATTACAGTATTAATCTTATTGGTTAGTGTTTCCCCTAAAATATTGTTTCCTAGTGACATGAAATAGAGCGAAACAAAAATATCTACTACAATCTACCCTGAGTTTTATTTATTTTTATTTTGAAATGTTTTCTATATCCTAAGTACAGACAGACTGTCACTGTTCTCTCACTGGAATCACAGGGCATTTCCCCCCACTTTCCCTCTGGCAAGGGTTAGGACAACATTCAAACATTGCCACATCTGCCTTATTCCTTATTTCTGACCTCTGAATGTTTCCTATCAGAATGATCATCACCCTTCCACACAATTCAGCAGGTCCATACCTGCAGATGAGATTAATTAGTACATTCTCACCCTGCCAGAGGTAGGAGAAGTGACCAGATCTGCTTAAGTAGCTGTGTGCCCTAGGCTGGGTGTCTTCTCTGGAATGCCAAAGCTTTATACTTTTAAATGCTCTGCTGGCCTTATGCTCCATACAGGCTTCTTGTTCTCAACTTCAAAATCAGCTGTCACCATAAAAACAGCTGCTTTGTGCTCCGCAAATACTTTGATTTTCAAACAAACGACACAAAGACACAGAAACTGCTGATTCTTTCCATCAGGCATAAAAAATGTTACATTTTGTTATAAAGACTTTCATTTTAACAATGAAAGATGAAAACATGGTATAATTTACATATTTTTTATAATGGCTGAAAACTGTGGATGGTTCTTCTCAAACACTGCAAATACCGCTTGTGCAACACAGGAGAATTACACTTTCTTATGCTACCAGCATTAACAGAAAGAGGAATTTAACAGGACTTCTTAGCCCTTTGAGGTGATATCTTTGCCTAACTTCATTTTGGTCCTCACCAAAGGAAAGCTAAAAATTCGAGGCATCAACAGCACAGTGCCTGTGGAAGACAATAACATCCATATATTTGTACATTTGCTTTCTAATGACGTGGCATAACAGGGTGGGAAGAGGAGTAAAGGTGGGAACAGAAATCACTGACAGAATTACCTAAGGGCATGAGAAGTCAGACAAAAAGTTAAGGACAGAAGTACACATGGTGATTAATTGAACGGTGCATGAAAAGCTGCTGCCTTTTCCCATGTGACATGGAGATGAATGCAGACCATGTCATGAAAAGAAGGAAAAAAGGAAGCTTGCAGTAATTATCAGTTATCCGTCCTTCATTTATCCATCAACAGGAGAGGAAGTGGCAGTAGACTTTTAGGTATGATATCTATTTCCTCTTGAACTTGATCTCCCAGTAGAGACATAACAGGAGACCACTTCCATACGAGAAGTGAAGTGATTGAATGAAAGCTAATTGCTGCAGCTCTGGATGACTAAAACATTTTAAAATGCCCTTCCTGAAGTACTGTGTTGCATATGTATCATACACATAAACAGTCCTTTATATTTATGCTGCTACAGTACAGGTGGAGTTTTATAAAAATCTATCTTGGAATTTAAAATATTTGCACTAGAACTGTTAAGCTTCTAGCAGCAATGCAGACTACTCATTTCTAAAAATGTTTCTCATAACAATGGTCATTTGGAGAGGTTAAATTATTACTTTAAATAAATATGTTCCTAACCTAATACCAAAGCTGTGATTCAGAAGATCCAGCAGCAATTTCTAACATTAGAATGTGTTACAAGCTTGATTTCATTATTAGGTTTACATTGTCTTTAAGTAAACAGAATAACTGTTTACACACAATGAAGTACCATAATCTAACTTGTAATTTCCTCTTCCATTTCTAGAATGAAGAAAGCTAAGAGCAAGCTACCTCAAAGCTCTCAAGCACCTTCCCCAACATGCAAGTGAGGGCTATAATTTGAATTTTTTTAAAGCAGTAGTTCCAGTGCAACTCTTTTTGCCACCACATGCAGGTGAGTTATCCATACACAGTGCATCTCAAGGTACACAGGCACTTTTTGCTCATGCATACTCATGCCACAAACAGGTAAGTGGGTACCTGCAAATGAACATGCAGAACTTCCCTCCTTCTAGTTTTATCTCCTTTCACTATCCATAGCACGTTTCTGGTTGTTTAGTAGATAAGATGCTCCTAGTGGCATCTCAATATTGGTGAAAGAAGGAAATTTTGAATGACAAACCCCTCCTACTGTTTTTATTACAGCTAGTTTAACACAGTAGCTGCCAATATGGAAACATTTAGAGCCAATTAACTATTTTTCAAATGTAACACATATGTAGATTTCCCTGTGTCTGGGTTCTCTTCATTTTTGTAACTGTGATATCTCACAATCTCTTTCTGAGCTAAAATGGATCTCAGGTAAAATTCTCAGAAGTATCTGAAGCTCAACTGACTTTAATGAGATATATGGTCTTAGGTGTCACAAGTGCTTTTGAAAATACTGCCTTTCAACTTCCCTTTGAATACTATCCTTATTTGAATTAGATCCTGGGAAATTATATCCCAGTAGTTTTCCAAGCTTTATCTATCACGGACAACCCTTATAAAAATCCTTGCCAAATGTCTTAGGATTTCAGGTCAATCCCTCAGTGTCTCCACTCTAGGGACAGACTACACTGAAGCTGCTCTCAGAAGGTCAAACCTCATTCCAGTGAAATTTCACACAGTTACCATTTTGCTCTGAAGCAGAGCAGGCTTCAGGGAGGTTCCCAAAGTCCTTTGCAAAGGCAGCAGGGGGAAGCCAGTATCACCTCACAGAGCAGGATGATAAAAGGCTTTGCTGCTTCACAGAAATTTCAAAAGAACCACTAAAGTATAATTTATCATTTCCACCATCCCTATTAAGCTGGTAGTGTTTCTGCCCATAGAAAACTCTCAATTATTCTTTTATTTTAGCATCTTTTGCTACAGCATGGGTCTAAGAAAGTTGCTTGGTAAAAAAAAAAAAAGTATTGAAAACCGCAAACATTTATGAGCAGGCAATAATTTTTGATCTCAAACTCATCATTAATAAACATAATGTTTGCTTTAAAATAGAAATATCATGGCTAGATGGAAGAGCAAACAAATACTATCATTTTAATAGACTCCAGGTTTAGTAAAATTACAAGGAAAACATTCCTTTGTATGCTAACATGAAAAACAACAACAAGAAAAAACTGTAAGAAGAAAGTAACTCTGTTGGCCACAGAAGGTGGGTTTGCTCTGAGATCACAAATAGAGGTAAATTATAATAAGGTGCCTGGTGTTTGCAAAGCAAATATTTAAATTCTATCTAGCAACACAATACACAGGCTTGAAATACGTAGGCTCTCAGTTTTTCTGGCACCTGGGAGGAGTTGCTTTGTTCACATTTTTAAACTAAGATTTCACAGTACCAGCCAACTGTTTTGTCTGTGTGATTCAATGAAAGATAAAGGTATAGACCTTTAAAATCTCCGAATTTTATTTAAGGTTTTCTTTCTTTATTTGTTTACTCAAGCCAGTAAATAAATTTTTTAAAATCACCTTAGTCCACAATGTAAGAGTGCCTTTGCAGAAAAAAGGAGTCTGGGAAGATTGAATACCATAATCCCATCTAATTTTGAAAATGATCACTGCTGAATGCTTTCTGGGGGTAAAAGTGTAATTGGTTATAGATCAATAAGTAATTTCATTCAAAAGGAACTCAACTGTTCCTGAAAGTAGAGACATTCTCAAATAAAAATCAAACTAACACATTAACAAAGTTCAGACTAATCTAAACAACAAATTTTTATACTGCTCTAGTTACGTTTTTCTCAATTGATCATTTATTTATGATGCCATAAAACTCCACATGCTTTTCATTTTGATTACTAGTTCCTTGTTTTAAGGCAGCTGAAATTACTTTTTAAGGCTTCGTAGCCTAACAGTCTTTCTTTCTGCTTAAGATTTACCATGACAAAAGAAAAATGGTGAAATGAGAGGACAAGTTCTAATATTAACAATAAGCACGATGAGCCGTGATACACTTCAATTCCACCATTAGATTCCAGATTAAATCCCCCAGGATAAACATACCTTCCTCTGACACTGCTAAATTCTCTTCCACGTAATTACACTGCAATAAACTGCTCTATCTGTACAGGTATCAGAGTATGATTTTTAATTGAAAAGCCATGAAAAGTAGCACTGTAGCAAATGAATCGCATTTTTGAGTATGCCTGAGACCCTGCACAACATCATACGAAATAAACCAGCCCCATTTAGTTCACTATTGACCCCAAAAGCTTCATTAACCGCTGTAATTACATTCAGGCAGAACAAATTCACCACAAATGCGGGAACAACCGAGACGAGAGGAGACCGTAGGGCTGTGGTGCCAATACTTACGATATGCAGCTCTAGATAATCTCCAAGGCCAGTAGAACTGTCCACTCGCACCAGCACAGCCTCCTTCTGCACAGTGCTAAACCCTATGGCCAGTCTGTCCGCTCGAGTGCTCGGCCGGTCGTTGGGAGGCCACGTGTAAGTGATCTGTCCACCACCTTTGCTAAAGATATACGTTGTCCCCGCTGTCAAAAAACAAAAAAAAAAAACAAAAAAGAAAAAAAGAAAAGAAAAAAAAAGAAAAAAAAAGAAATAATCAGCCCACTCGCACCGGTGCAAACCCACGTGGAAATCACATGCCCTACAAAAATCAGGTTCTCATGTAGTAAATGGATTCATAGGCTGTATTTCAGTGTGGAGAGGTCTTTATCTCTAAAAATTATGCAGCAAGTGAAATATTAGTGGGTTTTATATTGTGCAATCAGCGCTGAATATAACTTAATTGCAAATGAAAAGACTTGAAATACCATAGCTCTGATTCAGAAATGCATATCTGTTTGGAAGAGCTCTTAAGCTTATGCTTGATGAACATATTTCTATGATATGTAGAACAGGGATGAGTTAAACCCAATGCTTTCCTCAACTGGACCTATTTGGAGAAATCAAGTGATTCCAGTTGCCTCGTGGCTAACAAAAAAAAATGCTGCTACTTATTTACACAATGAAAATGATACATGACGGTGGCCAGCAGAGCAAGATGTTAACAAATACATTCAGATAAGACTTTTACAGATCTGAGGTTTATCATCTTGTGACAGATGGGGATAACAAGTGGAAACACGCTTTACTTGTCATGTCAGGACAAAGAGATTAGTCTACCATCTGAGTAAGCAATGTCTTATTTGCATAATGCTCAATGTACATTTTTTAAAAGTGGAAATCTTTACACATTATATCCAGGGTGCACTTACAAAATCTATAATCTGTTTGAAACAAGTGTTGTAATCCAAAACCACTTAGCACTCAGGTGCTTAACTTCATCACCAGCATATTTCCTCAGAACTAAAATAGCAGCATTTCCGGACATTTTCCATTTAAAACTTGTATCTTAACAACAGCAACAGCACAGAGCAGGAAAATTGTGCATGCATTTGATCTTTCATTGGAAAAGTCACTACAAGCTGTCTAATCCTTTTCCATGAGGATAGGTCAAAGCTTAGGGAGACAGGTTAATGCATTGTAAATACAGATGTCTAGTTTTCCTATCTGTCCAAAGCTGTCTCAAAGTGTGGCTACTCTCAATTTTATTGCATTTTATCTATTTTTATTACATTTTATCTATTTCATCAAATAGATAATGATAGGAAAAGTGGGAATATTTTTAAACTAAAAGAGAAAGAATAGATTAGATACCAGGAAGAAATCTTTTACTCAGGGGGTAGTGAGGCACTGGAACAGGTTGTCAAGAGAAGTTGTGGAGATTCCATCCCTGGAAGTCCAGGTTGGGTGGGGCTATGAGAAACCTGATCTAGTGGATAACATCCTTGCCCATGGCAGCAGGGTGAAACTAGATAATCTTTAATGTCCCTTCCAAGTCAAAGCATTCCATGATTCTATGAAAAGTAATTCAGTTCATTACACCCAATGCTCTCACTCCATACTTCCCATGTCCATGTAAGGAGACAGTGCATAACAACCTAATTGTAACTCTCTCTTACTTTCTTTCAAGGTTGACCAAAAATGCTGTTAGCATGTAAAGGAATCTAAAATCCCTTGAACATGCAGACTTTTAAAGCCAAAGCCAAGAAGAACTGTACACTTATAACACTTACACAACTCCCAGATGTCTCAAAATCTTACTAATGCAAAAAGGACACTTGGTCTTTTTTAAAATATCTCATTTATTTATTTCTAACATCACTTTTCCTTTATGGAATTGCATGCCTGTTAATTAGGGGTTTTTGGCAGTCCAATCAATCTATAATAATTTATGCACAGTGCATACCACTAAAATCACTGTAAATCTCATTTTATATTAATACACTTGTGGGATAGTTTCATTGTGCTTCAAATGGATCTGCTGGCTTTTCTCTTGATGCCAAAATACCAACCAGCATGTGTTTTAGGATAATTTGTCAACTTCTTCAGAAAGACAAAGACAGTAACAGGTCTGTTATTTAAGATTTCAGTTACACTTTAAGTGAAATCAAGTTTTATCTTTATTATAAAGGGTTTTGCAAGAGTAGTGAAGATTGGGGCTGTGCTAGGAATTGGTAATGGACATGGGCAAAAGGTGTCTGGTTTAGGAATGTGTGTGACAAAACCCTCCTCCTCCTGCTCTCCCACCCTTGCTTTCCTCCTAGGCAGGGTATGAAATGTAAAATAATCTGCTGTGTGTGTCATTAATCTTCAGTTACAACACACCCTGAAACAAAGACACACTGAACAGGTAATGTCACTGCTGATGGTCCCCCAAGTTCTCCTCTTTGCTGCTACTGCTGACTTCAAATCTCCAACTGAGGAGCTGGGGCCTCACGGAGTTTATGTCGCTGTGGTGTCTGCAGTGAAAGGATTTTTTTCTGTGTTGATGAAAAACTGAGGGCTTGATCCAAAGCTCATTAAAAACAGTGACAGCCTTTCTGTTGACTTCATAAAACATTGTGTCAGGTCATGAATGAAGGCCTTATAAGTAACAAAAATGAGAAGAAAAAACAACTCCTTACACCTCAATGTCACAGATAAAGCTGTTAGAATAGCCCCTAAGATTTAAGTGGCAGCGCATAATTCTCCTTTTCTTGGTTGTCTTGGATGTGTTTACCCAATTTAGAAGACAAAGAAAAAGCCTGCCAAGCATGGTGGAGTCATACTGAATACAATGACCCAGAAGTAAGTCTTCAGATCTGAACAATGAGAGGCTCTGCTGTTCTTATTCAGAGTGAATCTTGGCTGCATTTTTTGTTAAATACTGCCCTTCAAATCAACCAGGGAAGAGCAATTCATTCCATACTGCTGCTGCATTGAAGGCAAGGTCAATGTCAGTGGTGCTGGATAAATCTAGCTGTAAATCTTAAACTATATAGAATAAACATCAAAGTTAAAAAAAGTATCTCTTATCCGCGAGAACATGTGGTTTATGGGTTTTTATGAGAAAGCTTTCCCTCCTTTATAACTGCCCATTTTGTAGCTCTTCGAAGTAACTGTGTGTCTGGTAAAAGACTAATTAATCCATGCTGATGAATACAGATCTGCCTCTGTCTGAGCTGTACGGGGAGTCACGTTCTTCGAATTTCCTGTATTAATTATGGAAAAAATGGGTCGGAAGCCATTTGAGAATAGATCCTCTGGTGTTTATATTTCAAGAAAGACAAATATAATAATGTAAAATTTATTACTCTGAGATTGATCTCAGCTTATAGTCCAACCTCCCATTAACTATTAAAAGCTAGAAACTGAACAGTTGTGGGAAACAACCCTCCTTACTATCAGTTTTGGATATGGTAAGAAACAACACAGGAAGCCTAATTGACTTGCTTCATAAAGGCTTTTATGCCCTCTGACAAACCTCATAATGTCTCTGCCGCTCTTTCAGAACACTGTCACGAAACCCCAGCCATCTCCCCTAGCTTGTGGCACTGTGTTGTTTGCGGTTTATCATCTCCAGAGAACTGAAAGCAGCGGAATTATAATGTCAAGAATAGCAGTGCCATCAGCGCAGTACTTGTAAGAAGGCAACTTTGTAACATGCCAGTTATATCTCTGAGCCGCAGAATTTACTGCGTAATTCTTTATGCTTCCATGCAGCCGCACAATGTTTAGGAAAAATGCCCACACAGCTCTTTGAAATTCTTACCCATGAAAGCATGGTTCCCATTGTAACAAAACGCCAGTGGTCAAGATACAGTAATGTTTTTTAATGGCCTGGGTCTCTGAAGTCCTACTTGTTTGCAAAATTCATTTTTATGAAATAGTGCATTCATTTCAGCACAGTCTGGCAGCAACTCAAGGACATCTGCTTACCTCTACAGTATTAAGCAGATAAATATTTTGTTTAGAACCCATTCACTGTATTTATTATTGTTTATGACTGCAAAGCTTTTCAATATTTATTGCTCTGAAGTCACATTTGATGTAGTTTAATAGTTTGCTCAAATCAACAGCTTTCTGCCTCTCTCATGTTCATTCCAATTTTGAGTTTAAGGTATATTGCACTGAAGGGTAATGTACATAATTCCATTTATCCCATATAATGTAAGTTGCATAATGTTTATTTGCAACATTCATATCAGGTTCAGGTGCTTATGAAGTGAATGCAATGGTTTGATTGAGCTCTGGACCTTCATAAGCTACTGAAGACTGAAGCCTGTCAAGTTCAATAATGAAAACTATTAGCTGCACTTTCATTAATAGAAAAGCAATGTTTAACTATTACTAAAAATATGAGGGGTAAGGACTGCTAATAACAAGAAATTACCCAATAATATAATTTTCTTATTTCTTTATCTTATCAGTGCTTCATTCTGGGCTACAATGTGAACACTCTTATTCCCATCAGTAAGTAATTACTTGCATTGATAAACCTGCTGAATCCAATGAGACTAGTGCAGGCTACTATTAATTACCAAGAATGAGGAATTTACAATATGAAAACATATATATACACACACACACACACACATACATCCATATCATCCATATGAAGGCATTATTTACATTTACTATGTTCAGAGGAGCATATAAATCTCCACTAATACTCATTTTTACAGATTCATCTATGTATTTTCAGTCTGCACAAGCTGAAGTTCAGAAAAACACACAAAATTTCTGTACATATATTTGTACAGATTTTCTAAGGTAAGTAAAGGAAGGGATGCTTCAAGATGATATGCCAGGGGAGAGAGAGAGAGGAGGGGGTTTCAAAATAATCCACTCGGTGGATTAAAATTCAACCCTTCTGTATTGCTTCTTCCTTGACTTTGATATGTTATTAATTATTTACACAGAAGAGAGAATGTATGCCACAGGGTTGAGGTGAGGAGGGTATGGCCATTAGGGTTAACCATGGGAAGGAGATGGAAAGAGCTGCTGGAAGAAGTATTTCAAACTAAAGAGCAGATTCAACTGAATGCTTCCTGAAGGCATTCTGATACACTCTCTCCCACAAATCTGGGCAGGAGCCTGAATATGGATTGTAACTGCTCTCCTGCAAAAGCAACATCAGGTTATTTAATAGCAGAAGAAGTGCATT